TCTACTACAGTAGCATAGTTCACTGCACTCTAGAGTTTTTTTGTGACAGCTTCCTCTTTAAAGCTTTTTTTATAGTTCAGTAATAAAAAAACTACTTCAGAACAAAGAAGGTTATTTTATTTTGTGAATGAATTAAAAATCACAAGTCAGAAGAGAAGTTAAAGAGTAAAAATAAACATATTCTTTCCAGTGACGTAATTGAAAGGTAATTCTCACTTTTGAACTGAACCAAGACAGACATTATTCATTAATACAGCTGAGAGATGGGATGCAAGATCAAGATGAAGACACCAAGCTCTGGTAATCTACAAACGGGTGTCTTCAGCACAGCAATGCTCAATGCATTGCCTAAAGATGGCTTCCCACTGACAACTGAGACATCTTATAGCATCTGGAACAGTTGGATGGGGTTTACAGATATGGCCAACAAGATATAAGAAACTATGCTCCTGTAGCGCAGCAGCTGGAGGCCAGACAGGAAACTCTAGAGCATCTCAGGTGACACTAGACATCAACATGCAAGCAACCAGACAGGATGTTTCATGTCTCATTACAAACCAATGGAGGTCTCATCAGCATCATCAGTGGAGTTCGTCAGCGATTCAATTCTTCATTTCACTCTAAAATACACATCTAGTCACCAGTGGGCTGAACTGCTGTATACAGACATACAAATCTAGTGGTCTTCATCTCAAACTGAGTCCTTCCACAGATGTCTTTAAGTGTATCTTTACGTTCATCAATACCAGCAGTGTTCTAACATTGAAACAGCAATAACTGTGTCTCATATGACCCAAATAAGTTAACAGAAGTTACATTATTTCCCTTCTCCAGTGATTCTCACACAAAAATATACTCAACCAGCTGGTTTTTTTCCACCCCAATCAAAGATGCATGTCAATCAAGTAAATGCTCATTTTCTTCACAGAATTACTAGAGACAAAAGGGAACTCAGTGCTCATCAACAAAACACTGTTTTAGTGCCTCCAGAAGGTAAACAATAAGCATCTGGACTTTGCCCTGGATCACTCCTCATCCAATCACCTGTCTACATTAACATATTAGTATAAATCAGAAGGACACCTTTTATGTGACTTTCCTGATCATCCCCACTTAACATTTAACTTAGGTTATAACCTACATTACTATGGCAGTGCGGAAAGAAACCATCTCACCACCAAGCTACAAAGCATTTGCAAAGACTACAGCATAAACTAAGTTTGATTTGCAAGCATCAAGAAACAAATGAACAAAAACAGTATTTCCAAGCACAAGGATTTATTTTCTTTTATCTTTTGCTTTATTTTGTCCTAATGGAGAGGGACATGAACACTGATGAGAGCAACATGTTCATCCACTTCATAATTTCTTGGATTATATCCAGTTACTGGAACATTCTACTCGATCCATAAACAAGAAATATTAATATTTAATGGCTTTAATGTCTTAAAGTGCAAAAAAGCTACTATAAAAACTGCACCTCATAAAACTGTTGTCAGGACCCACTGCTACTCTCACGTAGCGACTCCTCTGTTACATACTTTTACATTTAAAGCTGATTGTGTATTTTCCTCTGAAATGTTTAGCAGCTCTAATAATATTTCAATTACAGATAGCTGGCATTGTTGTCTGAGGAACAGACTGGGGAGCTTACTGAATCTAGTTCAGCTGCATTTTACAAGCAAATGTTTTTCTTTTTCAGATTTAGAAGATACAACCCACAAAAAGCACACACAGTGAATGACAGTTATGAAGACAGTATATTTGAAATGTGTATTATTAAGAATTAGACACCATAGATGGCATCAAAGCATACGTCTTAAAATGAAGAGGTGGTGGTCGTACAGCATAATTGAGTAAGTAGGCAAAAACTATGCAAACTCACTAGTTAACAGGGGTGGATTCAGAAACCTAAAATTAGCCTGAAAATAGAAAACTGTGACTAGATGTCTTTTCCTCTCAGTGCTATTCACTCCCACACCACCTAATTCTGCCATCAAGCATCATTGTCTCCAAATATTATCTAAAGATTTTGTATTTTCAGCTGTCACTCCCTCCCTTGCTCTTACGCAACACCTTTCTTCTAAGAATTGCAGAGGTTCTTTATATAAATAATAAGGCATATAACAGCTATGAATTAGGAAATTCCACCTTTCACAGATGGAACTGGAACAGAACTAGAAAATTTACAAATTTTCTCAAGTCATCTTCTCCCAGAAAACACTACAATAACTCTAATTTGCTTTGGAAAATTACTGTCCTAAGTGAACTCTCCTGTAATTTGAAGGCATCTTGTTGCAGTAATATCTAACACAAAAGAGAAACGGGCTGTTACTTTTTCCTGAATCAGATTTCAGTGACATGTGTCATTATATGTCCGAAACAAGTGATCACTAACACCAGGGAGGTTATCAGACATGACTCTGTAGCTGCAAGCAAGCTCCATTTCACACTTTAAAAAAACATTCATTCAAATCCTGCTAATGCTTAAAAAAACCACCATATACTCTCCAACCCAAATGACCAACACAAAGTGAGTTCTCTAAATATAAGTTTAAACATAAATTCACTGAATTCAATGAGTGAATACATCTATACTGAATAAAGAAAAACCTGATTCCTCAGAGCATTGCCATCACCCTCAGCATGATTCAAAATGACTTTTGGCAATAGCAGGGAGCAGGCTCCCCTCATCCAGCTGTAGCCCATTCCAAGTCAAAGCAGCAAGGTGGCAGCGAAGCTCTAAGCAACTGTTTCTAATTGTGAGCAGACAGCCAACAAGTAAAATCAGTCTAAGGGCTCATGTAGAAGGCCATTTTCACAGAGATAAACTTTCCTCTTCAGCTAATTCACACATGGCAATCCTATTAAGTGGAGCAACACAGGGAAGGGACTCACTTCGAAAGTTTCCATTGATAAATCACTTTTTTCCAGCTACCACCATTCTGTAAAGATCCTACAGCCAGTGACAGGACTCTGGAACTTGTGCTCATAAAGCTCCCCGTGGTACTGCTGGCTCTGTTACAGCATAGGAAGAAGTTACTTAGCTGGATAACTATGATCTGATCATGCATTTAACCACAGAAGCCGAGGGACTGGCTCTTTGCTTCTGTTTAGGGATTTTTTGGTAGGTTTTTTTTTGTTTGGGGTTTATTATTTTATTTTTGCTGATACTAATCTGCATATTTCTCTTCTGAATCAATAAATCTACTACAAAATAAAGGCATTTTCATCAGCTCACTGCAGCTGCTCTGCCAAAAAAAAAATAATTTTAATTAGCCAGTATTTTTGGGCTGCTTTGTTATAGGCAGCAGAAAGGCGAATCTGCCCCCAAACTGTTAATAATTAAAAAGTCATTTAAGGCTGCATATCTTCAAAGTATTAAAAATAATTATGCAACAGGACTGTGATGGGATATGCTCACTTAATATAGCTCAAAGAACTGAGATAAGAATTACTGAAGATGTACATAAAAGGTTGCCTTGCAATGAAGGTACGTGTGTGTGTGAGGGGAATGGAGGAGGGGATGCTCAGCTGGAAAAGACTACATAACTCAGAAAATTTTCTTCTGATATTCTTTAGCAGGATCTGCAGCTTTTTACCTAACTTGGAAACATACAGTCATGCAGATAAGGCAGTATTAAATGGATCACTGCTGCCTCTGGAAAGAAAGATAAGTTAGCCTTTGGTATTTTGATATTCCTTTTCTGACAGCTGTTCCTCTTTCTCACAAACTTCCTCAGCCAAGCAAAGATTATCTGGGATTGACAAATCTGTGTTTTGGAATAAACAAGATCTTTTCTCTGACAGTGTGTTGGAAATGGATGCTTAAGATACAGATAACAGTATAGTCTGTCAGGTGTATCACATAGCTTGAAGGGGTCTCAGGGAAAAGGTACCAAGCCACATGAATACCTACATATGCCTAACAGTGCTTATTCCAAAAGATACTAAGAACAGGAAATCTTTCCCTTGTACACTGCAACTCTGACAAGAAAACAGACAATTCTGCTCCCTATCTACCCTGTGGGAGGGTGGAGACAAAAGAGTAGAAAGAGGAGACTAGACAGCGAGGTTGTTGTAGCTGAAATTGTAATCTGGAGACATTCACACAACACAATGCTAAAACCTAATGAAAGTACTCAGTGGTTTGATTTCTTTAAAAAATACATAATCCTTTGGGATCACTAACTGCTCTGTAACCAACACCAGCTGTGTGTGGTTTATCAGGGCTGCCAGCATTCATGCAACCATTATCAATCAACAAACTTGCTGCCACATCCATGACTGGAGATGGGAAAGAAGTTACAAATGGTCCCAAATCCTTCAGTTCCTCGTTGTTAAACACCAGCACAAAGTCTGCTGCATTAAATACAGCATGTGCTTTATCTGCAGCCCTAAAGAGTAGGTACCCTCTTCTCTTTAAGCTTTACTGTCTCCTAATTCAGGCCAGGATGTTCCACTGGTGCCACAGCGGATGCAAGTGAACAGCATGGAAGTACAAACATTTTAAGACTTGGTTTAGTGTTTATTTAAATGCATGCACAGAAGTAGAAATCATCTATAAGAGCAGTTGCGGCTGCACATGAGTGATAACGTAATGCCCTAAAGTTCTGGTGCTGGAATATATTGTTTCCTAGGAGATGATCTTCAGCAAAATAATCCCAAACCAAACACATTACATCCATGCATATTTACATGTGTGTACAGACAAGCATTTGAAAATTACAGGTTTTCAGAAATTGAATCATAAATTATCAGTAGTCATTTTCAGATATGATGCAATTTAACACACCTGTACAGGCTGCAGGTATTCTGAGTGAACTCAGAATCTCCCTTTCTTATTGCCAAAAGATACATTTAATTGCAAGGAGGTACTGAATCTTTGCTAAACTTTCCTGTTACATATATACTGCCAGTCACTTCTTCAAATTTGGTTTGCTTTATTAGTATTCTGCCTGAATACTCAACACCAGTCAAGCCCAGCACTTTTCTTTTACCTGGAGTAATGGATAGCTTGATGTCCTGCAATATTAAAATAGAAGTCAGTTGTATGTTTCATCTCATCAGTATGTCCAGAGACCTCAATCCAGTGTGCTATTGGGAGGCAGTAAACTCCATCTACTATGTTGCTCTGGTTGTAAACAGAACTTCGATCATGATGAGGCCCATCACCTAGAACAGAGGAAAGGACAATTGCAGGCTGTGCATCCAGAAAATCTTCTGAAAGATTTGCAGGAGATGTGAACTGAGGAGTGGCATTTGCTGCCTGTTCAAACTGCATTTCTCATAACACGTTATTAACATCTGAAACAGTGACAACAGAAGCCCTATCAAAAGCAAACGTTCAGTGTTTTTCAAATTTTCAAATGATTTTAAAAACCCCAAACATTAAAGCTGTGTAAGATTCTCAAATCATCAACTGTGGCACTTAAAGTTTCAATAATAAATAATTTCATTTAAGTTCCTCATTTGATGTCTGACAATATGTGACCTCAGTGTTTAATGTTTCTGCTGTGTAACCTCCCCTGGGGGGGTCCAGCTTGCTGTGGCAGTCTAGCTCTGACACTGTACAGCAGCAGCATCTTGCCTCAGGCTTATTTCTAAGGAAATTGCCAAGCTAGGAGAGCAACATCAGAGAAAGCAGAGAGCTCGGCTGCTCGAGATCAGAAGAGTAAAACCACAAACAAAGGTAGGACTGGTGACACTGGATTTGTTACCACCTTAAGGGTTCAAGAGGAACAAAAAACCACCTCTGTGGAAAGGCATCAAATCCCAAAGAAGAAAGCAAGCAGGTGGCAGACAGCAACCCAGCAGCACTGAAGATCTGTTTCAGGGAACAGAGAAGGGTGGTCCTCCTCCACCTCATCCACAACTGCCTGGCAGCAAAGACTCTCAGGTGTCCTGTCTTGCACAGGATGCACACTGATGCCTAGCCTAGGAGTTCATTAAATCCTACCATCTTTTATCTTTGCTAACCAATAATCAGCTGTTTTGTACTCTTCAGATGCACATGTCCCACTTACAGAGTTTGTTCATACACAGTAAAAGTTGCCCAAAGTGACCGAGAGAGAGATGGTCACATCTGCAATGGTGAGTGATCACAATTACCTAAAATGGCCTTGTCTAAAGAAAGAATATTTTCTTAGTTTTCCACAACCTAATATCCATTACCCCTTCTTCTTCTTCTCTTACAGCAATAGTGTGAGCTTTAGTACAGAAAACCAATTCTTAAAACCATGACAGAATAAGCATCTTCAATTGAACTGGGCTGTGTCATCAATCAAAAGGTTATCTAGCCTCCAAAAATTCCGTATGTGTATATTGTCCTCCCTTCCCCCATTTTTACATACTTCTTATAATACTAATTGCCATGTAGGAATTATTGTGCAGATTAGAAATGACCTAGTCTGTGGCTTTCTTTTAATGTAAGCCTGTTACACTTATACACTATTAATGATGTCAGAACATTTCTGAGTAAAATTATGCCCAAAGGAATATCTTCAATTTCACACTGCACGTGAATACATGACCAGCTTCCAAGCACCGCATTTAGGAAAACTTGCTAGAGCAAGTGTGTTTTGGGAGACGTATTAATGCAATGATTAGAGAATAAGACTAGCATTTAATACTGAAGCTCAATCTCCTTATTTCCGAACGACATGCAGAGTGTTTTATCATAATTGTGAAACATTATTTACCAAAAAGAAAGAAAAATACTTAGCAGAAAACTATTTTCTCTTTCTATATTGCTGAGCCACTAGGCATCATATGCAATAGTAGGACACAGCTTTTGATAAATAAGGTGAGCAAGACAAGTATGTACCTCCTGAAGTTACAAATATTACCACTATATTTTTATCTCACATTTCTAATTGTTTGCACATTTCTAGCACTTCTAAACAGTATTTGAAGACAGCAGTTTACACTGACAAATACAACAGTGTAACAAAACCTTTGGATGTTTATGACATTTGTCATAAATAGTATTCATAATTGTCATAATAATATTCAGCAAAATCTTTACAACCACAAATAACACATCTTGCCTTCCCCATTTTACTCTCTAACAACTGTCTGTAGTGGTGCACATCACCACGGCCCTGCCATCACAAGGCTGTGTGTGACCCTGACCCTCACCCACTGATGGGCAGACGTCCCATTCCAGCCACAGCCCCATTCCCCAGGCTCTCCAGGGAGGTGCCATCAGCCAGGGGCTGCCAGCCCTGTGGAGTGTCCTGCAGCCCCCAGGTAGCTGCCAGCCCTCACTGCCCCCTAGCAGTTTTGAACTATGTTCTCGGGATCTCTGTCTCTCTTCCTAGCCCTATTTTTCTTAGCATGCATGTGCCCTTGTACCCACTCTGGTTCCCTCAAGGACTGCCCCTTCCATTGTTCACAGCTGTTTCTCCTCTCTCATGAGGGTTTCTGTACAAATATTGGCAACCACAACCTATGATCTCTTCTTTCTGCTTAATTTCTTCTTTCCTCAAGGTACTAGTCAGTCCTACAAGACAACAAAGCCTCACTCTTTGTCTTCATGATCTCAATTGCACCACTATATGCTTCCTACTTTCCCATTTACAGCTGCTGCTGCTTGAGGTACTTGTACTCCTGTCGCTTGTCAATTTTACTCTCCATCTTCATTCTCCTCCTTCTCCAAGCTTTAGTTCTTGGTGCTTTTTTCCTCCCTTCCTTCTCCATCATCTGCCTTCTTAAATGGCAGAAGCCTCCTTGCTTTGTAACCTATTCATCTTCACCACCATTCATTCCTCACCTCGCCTACAACCACACATAAAAGTGGGGCCAAGAGTAAATTGCCATGAGATGCTTGTTTCATTTGTTCCCTCAAACAGGTTTTGTCAAACCTCATTCTGAAAAGCTTCCTTCTCTGATTGTCATTTATCGCTGTTGATTTTTCTGCACCACTCACCTCACTTTCCTACTGTGGCCTACAGTCAAGCGGGAATCTCAAAAGGTACGTTTCTGGTTTGTCTGTGACACTCAGGTAAACAATAACAACTTGCATTCCTAACATTTTTAGTAGAATTGCATAGCTTTTTACTGCATCATATACTGATCTATGAATTAACAATCTTCTTATTGAAACAGGATGTCTGTGCAAGAGAATGTATATGAATATACATTCAACATATATATCCATGTGTGTGTATATATATTTATGTATTTGTTGAATACATATAGTTGAATATATATTCAACAAATACAATGTTATAATTTCAGATAGGAAAGGGAGAGTGCTACCATCTCAAAGAAATACTAATTTAGATAACAGTAGAATCA